GCCGATGGATAGAGAGAGAGGGCTTGGTCAATTTGATCAGAAATAACATCAAGAATAGTGCAATCTTGGGATGAAGGAGAGCGATATAGAACAAATTGAAAGGCGATAGAGTGAAGTTGTGCTAAACGAAAGCACATAAATGAATAGTCTGTAGATTCAAACCTAGTTTCACGACAAATGGGTGAATTCTTACGAATGTAGATGCCCAGGCCAAGCATGTGATTATTGGAGTCTTTACGAATTAAAGGAAGATAACCATCAACACTAAGATCACAAGATGGGACAGCCGAACTCAAATTAGTCTCACAAAGAGCAAGTAGGTCTGGTGAACTTTGCAAGAGATAAGACTCAACAGAAGAAAAGTTACTTCGAAGACCACGAATATTAGTAAATGATAGGTTTAGAGAACTTGGTGATGACGATGGTTTTTTGTGTTTTTTAGTTTTAGGTACTTTAGTCATTTTAAATTTATAAAGAACTTGACTCAAGTATAGATAGTACTCAGTACACTATTTAACAACTAAGCAATAGCCTCATTACTATTAATAAACCCTAAGCCGTAACAAAGGGCTCCAAATGTGGCCTCTGCAATGCACACCAAAAGTACAAACAGGGACACCATCCATGCGCAACATGGCACTGTTAGTACTCTGATATTTTTCAGCTGTTGATGGAATCAGCCTCTCTGAGAGCTACCACAGAGTTCGGGAAACCTGACTACCAGCCGGCCTCAGAACCATAAAACTGAGTTTTAGAGCTGTACCCTCATTAGGAGATAATAGAATGAGTTGCCCAGTCATAAAAATAGAGACACAAGCAATACCCACGCATTGAGTCAAGAAGATCCAGCGTTCAACATCCTAAACTGGAAACAATGTATTAAAAATACATCTGCGCCAGCCTAATAGATGAGGAAGGGGTGCGAGGCTGGTCAACAGATAGAATCTGTTTACCCCTTAAGTCTTTGCCTAGGAGGCCTTCTACAAGACAGCAGCTGGATGCATGTAACATCTGCCCAAGATGAGTATTTTTATCGAGACACCATCTCTAGCCTTTACTCAACCAAGAGCCCCAAGGCAGGGGGTGTTTTAATTCGGAGTTAACTTCTCCTAGCCTTTGCCTAAAAAAGCGTATCCTACAAGGCAGCAGGACATGGAGCAGGTTGTACTGGGTTACATGTTACCAGTAGCAGGAAAACCTGACCTGACTGACATATATATATATATATATATATATATATATATATATATATATATATATATATATATATATATATATTTGTAAAAATAATCAATTATTTTTACTTACTATAATCAATTTTTTTTTTTTTAATTTTAAATTCTTATTATTATTATATTTATTATTATTATAATATTATTGTATATTCTTGTTGTTGTTGTTTTGTTGCGAAAAAACCCAGACAGAAGGTTCTTTTTTTAAAAAAAAAAATAATCCTAAAATCACAATCGCTCATCCAAATTTGAATAAGATTTTATATTAATACGTTTTTTAGGTGAAATAAACATTATAGTTTATGTCGTGTTTTGACAACTGTATACTGTTAATATAGGTCTGAACTGATTAGAACTAGGATTGGTAGTAAATTAAGGAACTTGTTTAAAAGATTTTAACTAAATTCATGTTAATGCCGATGACTGAAAGTGATCTAAAGACTCCAAAATAATGTTCTTTAGATTAACTATTACGGGTAATAAAAAAGTTTTAAAAATTATGTAAAAAAAAGTTTCTTTAAATATTATAAAAATCCTGAAGCAAAAAAAAATTTTAACATTTAAAGATCTTGTTTGGACATAATATGCTGACAAAACCATGCTAATTCCAAATAAAAGTATTCCAATTGTAAATCGCCTTAACTACACCGAGTTGTTATCAAAAAAAAAAAGAAAAAAAAAAAACAACTGAAAATCGACAGTAAAAATTATAAAATAAATTTTTTAGTCACTGATAAAAACAAAAGTTTTCAATGTAAACAAGCTTTAAAAATCACTGAACAAGTAAATTATTTTAATTAATTATTTTATTTATAACTTATTTCTTACCAAAGTAGAAAATTTTTATCAACATGTTAGATCCTATTGAAATTATTTAGGTTGTTCACTTTTGCAAGAGATGAGTTTCAACTTGCAATTTGCAGACTATAAGAACAAAAAATTCATGGATCCCTCTCCCATATTTCCATACATATTTTGCGCCGGCCTTAAGTAAAAAATTGTTTCAATATCATTTTTATGATTTCAATAATATAAAAATATTTGGATGCAAATTATTGAAATTCAAAGTCAAATGTTGCTTCGGTGCCATTTTTAAAATTTAAATCGTATAAGAATTCTTCAACATAAATTATAGAGATTCGAATGTGATAAAATGTATTGGTGTCATTTTTAGAATTTCAATAAAAACCAAAAAATTATCAATACAAATTATAGAGATTCAAAAGTTTCAGTAAATTTTCGATAATGTAAATATATTTCGAAAGTTTCGAGATCCCTCCCTACCCCTCGTAACAAATTGTCACAAAATTGCCTACCCTTTCCCCTCCCTAAGCGTGACGTAATTCATGGACAACCCCTAACTAGGTATCAAAAAAAAAAAAGTGTTAAAAAAGAGAATAAAGATACATGAAAGACGTATGCGGGGTGTTAAAAAAATCTATAACACCCTTTAATATTTTAAAATCTGTATTTTTTTAAAGAAAATTTTAAATTTTTGTTTCTTTTTAATTTTTGTTTTACATACTTTATATATACTATTCAATGTTGTTTTATATAACAATATGCATTTAAACATTATTAATGTTCAAATGGCTGTTATGAGAAGTCCTTCCCTAACTACCCGGGAGAATATCTACAGATTGCTATGAAAACTTGAAAGGTATTCTTTTTAAAGTCTTCAAAGTAACTATACAACATGTCTTTATACAATAAAGTATCCATACATGTTTTTTGATTTACTAAAAATAGCCAAAGTTATTTCAATTCACAAAGACGATGAAAAAAGAAATGTTAATAATTATCGCCCTATTTCTGTCCTCTCCAAGCTTTCAAAAATTTTACAAAAAATTATATAGAAAAAGACATACAATTTCTTAATTACAAATAATTTACTAAATAAAAATCAATTTGGTTTTAAAAAAATAGTTTAACTGAACAAGCCATTGTTTAGTTTACACGTGTAATTTTAAAGTCTTTTGATAAATCACAATATACACTTTGAGTTTTTATCAATTTGTTAAAACCTTTTGACATTGTCAATCACAATATTTTACTTAAAAAACTTGAATTCTACAGAATAAACGGTAAATTGATAAAGCGGTCCGAAAGCTACTTGTCAAAGAGGAAGCTATTCGTCTACTGTAGGGATGAACTACTATCTAATAGTTTAAAAATCAGAAACTTATACACGTTTTTACTCAGTTCAAATGCAATAAATTAATCTTAAACAATGTCAAAACAAAATGGAATCTTTGCAGTTCCTCGAAAAAAGTGTCTTTCGCCATTAGATTTGTCTAAACTTTTTATCGATAGAGGAGAATATAAAGAATCTTCCTTTATAATATATCCTTTATGGTCTTTCGTATTTATCTTGATGAAAATCTGTCATGAAAAACTCGTATTGTTTTTATATTTAAAAAAAAGTATTAAAAAGTTATGGAATCCTATATTAGGCTAGAAATTATTATAAATAAAAACTTTTAAAGATATGAATGTTTTAAATATTAACGAACTTAACATTTATAATACCTTATCTTTTACATTTTGTTGCATGAACAATTCATTATTAAATGTTTTTAAAGATATATGCACCCATCAGGGTTCAAAGAAAAAATATAGTTTGCAAAATAACCCTTTTGTCAAACAGAGTTTAACCAATTTTGTATAACTTATTTTTGTATTTTTTAAAACTTATCGAGCACCTCATCTTTATAATAAAATTGTTCAACCCAACTTTGATTTATCAATCTACTTCCTAGTTTTTGAAAATAAGTTAATAAATAATTATTTTTTCAATGATAAATATATTAAAATACTTTTGAGATATAATTTTTAACCGTTGACTATTTCAACTATTTTAGGTTTCTATTTTAATTTTAACTACTTGTATTATATTGTATTTATACTTCAACTTCTATATGGATCTGACGACAAGATCAGTATGATCTATTTTCAAATTTCAAGTTTAATTTATGCGACATGTAATAAATGTATAGCGGAACTCAATTCAAAAATAGATACCCGTTCTTGGTGAGTTAGTAGAGTGTCTGAGGGTGCTTTTTTTCATAAAGTTTGGCAGGTAGCAAGAAAAAAGGTTTTTGTTGATATATAAATATATTAGAAAGAGTCATAGCATTCCTTCATATAAACAAAACTTTACAAAAATATTTTTCTGCAAAACTAAAGTTAAACTATTCTAATACTCAAGAAAATTTATGTTGATACAAATTAAAAAAAAAATAACACAGCAAAACATGCTCATATCATCGCTTTCTTTACACTGAAAAAAGCATGGCACAAAATTTGAACGAAGAAAAGAGTTCCGTTAAGATCGGAATCAGGTGTACCTATATAAATATAAATATATATATATATATATATATATATATATATATATATATATATATATATATATATATATATATATATATATATATATATATATATATATATATATATATATATATATATATATATATATATATATATATATATATATATATATATATATATATAGCCCAGCCGGCACATCGACGTCGTTTCGACGTCAAAACAACGTCGAAAGTTTTATTTTAATTAAACATCGTGACGTCGAAACGACGTCGAAATTTGGTCGAAAATGAAACAAATGCCCACGTCGAAACTAACGACGTCGTTTCGACGTAACACAAAAACGTTCATTTCGACTTTTTTTCGACGTAGCAAGAAACATTGATTTGACACGTATTTTGAGGAATATCGGAGGAAAAAGCAAAATAACAAAAAGTATTCGTTAACATTCTTTCTTTTTAAATTACTTTTAGCAGCAAAGCTATACATAAAAATCAGCATAAAAAAGCATCTCTGACAACGATTATTCTTCATTAGGAAACTTGCGAATAATCGATTCTCCACCATTGGATCGCCGAGGCGCATGTTTTAGTTGAAGCATGATTATTTGGCATATTTCAGATGTAGTAGCCTCTTTGTTCTTGAAAAGAACAACATCTAAGAAATAATTTTAAACATTTTTGGAACAAAAAATATATGTATCATCAAAGCTATTTTGACACACACGAGTGTATCACACATATGTGTGTCAACATAGCTCATTTTTCAAATGTATCATGGTGTACACTATAATACATAATAAAAGAGTTATATTGACACAGACCATAGTACATTAAAACAAAACTCAGATAAGCAGATATAAATTATGCCACAAATTTGTTTGTTAAATCACAATTATCTACAAGATACCTAATTATGGCCGATCAGATACAGAAGTCCAAATAATAACAAAACTTAAAATAGTGTAAATGATTATACTAACAATAATTATGAGAAAAATTTATAGCTTACCAACTATTGCTCTGTAAATGTTAGATTTTGAGAATCCAAACTTTTCACCAGATTTATACATATTACATAACGCTTGTGAAGCATTGGGTAAAAAACTGCAATAAAACAGATATACTGAAAGCTATATATTACTTATATATTTTAAGTTAAAAATTATTTATTTATTAAATAGTATTAAATTTAAAATATCATAATCACAATATCATTAGGTGGTTTCCCCTGGATACCCTCTGCAAAAATAAGAATGTGCTGCAAAAAACATTATTTTCAAAACAATATTGCAACATTTAAAAACTCAGCATAACTTTGCAAAATGTTTTTAATGATTGTTTTAATCGACTTTCCACCGATTCGTGATAACTGTGTTTTCTAAAAAGAAAAAATTTTCTTTCTGCTAATTGTTACTTTCTCTGTTGTTGTTATTTGTTAATTGTTACTTAACTGCTTGGAAGCAAACTAAGAAGACTTTTATGCCCAATTTTAAAGCTGATTAACTATGCAATAGACATGTTATAAAATTATTTTTAGAACTATAATTACTATTTGTATTTTGTAACTTATTGCATTGTATAGAACTTATATTGTAACCTAATACTTTTACATTTAACATAAATATCTAATAATGTACACCAATTTCAAATCAACTTTAAATTTTCCAACTTAAAAAATCATTATTACTTACAAAAGATGTAAAATTTGCATCATTATCTAAATCACTATTTAGTTTACAAATTTACATTGAAGTAATATGGGAAAATTTAAAGCTTTCATTAGTTGATGGCAAAAGTATAGTCGTTACAGAGTTGTTGCAACCACAAACCGTTATGTTTTCAAGTTTGATAGAAATTTCTGTTAACAGATTTGAAATACTAAAAAAAATATAAATAATATAAAAGTGATTATGTCTAAAATGCAATGATAACAACCAACATAATTAGCTATATTAAGGATAATGTTGTTCTAATGAAAGCATAAACTCAAGCTAATTTATATTCATCCATATTCCTGAAAAATTTTTAAAAAAAGGGTTGCCACATACACCTTGCCCTAGTCCTAAACAATTAAACAGTATAAAACTTACTCTCATTTGTTAGAGGATAGTTATAACCATGCCTACGCTTCACCACATGTTGTTTTGTTTGATATAGTTTCCGTGCTAAAGGTAATGAATAGGAAAAATAAATCAAAATAGATATACAAAAATAATAATTGTAAATAATAAAAAAAAGTGGTCACAAGATCCAGAGAACTTAATTATTGATTAGTATAAACAGACGATGTAAGTAATGAAAAAAACAATAATAAATGAGAAAAACAAAATAAAAAAAGCAAAACATTAAAAAAAAAATTATTAAAACAAGTAACTGATATAATAGCATGCTGATGACAATTATAATAATAGATTTTTTAAATCAAATGTCATACAAGAGTAATCAGAAATGTCAAAAATTGAAAAATCTATGACAAAAGAAGTTCCTTTTTTTTCTAAGGTAGTGTCTATACTTTGTATTACTTACAGGGTCTTGCAATCTTCCTTGTGCTTTTGAAACCTGATGATTCTAATCTGTCACCACTGTGAATAGATGATTTTGTTCTCAATTTTTTAACGCTGCAAGATGATTTAAATGCAGATAGTTGTGGTGTTGAAATCATTGATTGCAGAGACATAGCATTTGAAAATTTGGGTACAACAACTGAAAAAGATAGTTGGATAAACAACTTAAAAACAAGATAATAAAGTATGTACCAAACCAGTTGAAAAACAAATATTTGTGACAGCTATTTAAATAATTTAAGCTAACCTCTATTATTATAAACATACATTTTTTTCAAATATACTTTAATAACATCAAATTATTAAAAAGCATTAAGTTAAGTTTTCACATATTATAACCTACCCGTGTCTTCTTCATTAGAACTTTCTATTAACGATTCTTCTGAAGCACTTTTTTTCTCCTGGGTTGTTACAAACTCATAGTCTTGACATGTTTGTTCATCTGAAAGTTATTAAAAAAAAAAAATCAAAATTGTAAATTAAAAATCTGAAAATTTTAATTCAGAATTTACTAAGGATAAATTACCAGTTAGTTATTTAAATTAGAATAAGTTAAATTATTAAAATAACGAGGTTTTCTAGAATATGACAAACTACCAACCTCCTACACACTTTGTTGACAAATATTTATAATGTTTCCATTTTAAGACATCTGGTATACTTAGGAGCTGAAAGTGTCTTATCACAGATAAACTATTGGACCAATACAGTTTATTTTCAATTATCCAGTTACATGGAACAACACCTTCTGTTTCCATACCATCTTTAATTGAAACACCACGAGCATAAGACATAATTAGATACTAAATTTTAATTACTAAGGCAAAAATTATAATAGCTTAACAAAATCTTATTTATACTAAACTTATTTTTCTATAAAAAAACTATTGTTCAAAATACAAGTGTTGCAAAAGTTAAAGTCAATTTTATTTTTAGCCAAAAATAATAAATTTTCTGGAAAAAAAAAAAAAAAAAAGGTTATTAATTAATAGTTAGTTGAATTAAAAGCAACAAAACAATAAATTTTAATTAAGTAATTGTTAAAGAAACAAAAATGAATTTTATTTTATTTCCAGTTGACATTGTGAACAAGGAAAATAAATACAAGACCATTATCACCATATGGCATAACAACAACTTTATACAAAATGTCATCTCTTTCAATTAATGTACGTGCAAGACTAAGGGTTCTCTCTCGCAAAAGTACAATATTGAAATTCTTCGAATCACAAGGTTCAAGAAAGAAACTTTCCATGCTATCTTTTCTATAGGTTTCACACATATAAATGTTGTTGTCATTAATTTCTTTTATATTAGCATATTTGCCACACTTTAGTAAAAACCAGCTATCTTTATGCTTTATACTTATTTTAGTGTACAAAAATTTTTCAGAATACATAGCTCCACAACTTTCAAACTCATGTGCTCACTTGATAATTTGATTTACAGGATTTGTGGCATTACGGACAAGCTTCTTTAAAATTTGGAGCTGATTCTCAAAAGCAAATGCAGAAATTGCATCAAGTGGTAGTTGATAACCAGCTACGTCATCTTGGAGAGGAATCAGATTATGAACATTGTATGTATTAAATGTATTGCTATAAATATTTTTTGTGGTAGAAACAAAATATACAAGCAAATGATGAGCATATTCCAGCAGAGAATTTCGATACTCAGCATTTGAACTCAGCATAATTTTTATAGCTATTGAAAGATAAAGAAAATGTGTGTAGACTTCTTTTTTAACAACCCCTCGAAGTACAACAAGACCACTATATAAAAGAATTTCCCTAAATTAAGTTGCTTTCCATCGCTTACTTTTTTGAAAAACAACTCGTCCATCATGCCATGCACCTTTAATTATACATCGCTCACACGAATAATACCCAGTATGACTTTTGATACACTTAATGAACGCTCTAGCAGGTTCGTCACATACAAATGCTTTAATAGAGACTGTGTACCTGTGGTTTTCATAGAGAAATCCTACAGTGTTCAATAACTGATATTCAACTAGAAAATCTTTTAAAAAATCATTAATGAAACTAGGCTTCTTGTTACCTGTGTATACTGAAACAATAAAAGGTTTTAGACTGTTAAAACGACAAAGAATTGGCCATAATTCTACGCTTAAAGACTTAAACAAAGGAATCCTATCTATGCCTACAATTAATGCAATATTTTGAGTATTTTCATTAGTTATAACTGTACTATCAAGTGTCCTTTTAATTCCAGATTCAATTCCTAAATGAAAAAAATCTCCACCACATTTAGAATAAAAAGCTATAGACCTTGGTGTGTTTAACAATGTTCGCGAATCTTTTGGAAGTTCTGGGTGTCTATTTTTGCAAAGAATTGCAAGAAGCTTGTTTAGGGAATCTCGTTTACACATACTTGAAGAACTCCAAACAGCAAGTTCAGCCTGTAGGTCGTCTTCAACATTTTTATCGCTTGGATCTTCGTCTAGTTCAACACTGATAACAGAATCAGAGTCTGAATCTTCCATTATGTTAGTAGAATAATAATCATCACTTAGTGTTTCATTTAATTCACTCGTATCATGTTGATAATCATTAGGAGAAACCTCATGCAGATTACTGCCCTGAACTGAAACAATATCATTTTCAGAAGCTGATGATGTAGTAACAATTTCTATTGCAGATTGTAAAAAAGCATTTCTCTGTCTGTGTTTTCTAACTCTTTCTGTGGAATTCATATTTTTGACTTATTTAAAAACTGTTAACACTTCGTGGTTATATACTTTTTTATGGCGCAATGATTTCTGGACAATTTCGAAGATTTTGGTCTAAACCGGGTCGAAATCAAGTTGCTCGACGTCGCGACTTTTTAGCGACGGACAAGTAACTTGAATCGTACAAGTATCATAAATCGTATACTTTGCCTCATTTTCGTTGTTATCTTCAGCAGAGCATGAATACTTTGTTTTCATAGTAGTTAAGAATTTGTAATTTCTCTTTGTAGAAAATGAAGTTACTTTTTAGAAAATGTCGCAATTCAATTTAAGTGCTGTTGTTATAAGGAAAAATACTGACAGCCAAAATGTGTGGAGTTAAAAACATTTTATTAATAAAAAAAAATAGATCTATACTTTTTAACTTTTTAAATTCACTTGCCGTTCTATAGAACAACAATTGGAAAAGCGAAACGCGCAGAGTTAAATATAGAACCTGGAGTTTTAATTAAAGAATAGAACGTCAAAAAAACTTTCAAAATTTTTTTAAGAGCAGCTATAATAGTTTAAGTGAGAAAAAAATGAGGCTTAAAAAACAGCCTAAATCAGGAAATATAAGTTAGAAAAAGCATATGAAATAATAAAAAACTGGAATTAATAAAAAAACAGGACAATTTTCACTTTTAGCGCCTCGCGTGCTGGGCATAGGATAATGGATAAAAAAGAAAGACATATCCTCTTTTTGCCGGACGTTTGGCAACCCTATCTACAAGACTTCCTTCTTCTGCAGGGCTCGTTGATTGTTTGCATTTTTTCCTTGTTATTATTTATCCGCATTTTTTCTTTTTAATCAATTAAACCACTTTTTCTTGTGAGAAATTGGAATTATTAGGCACGTGTGTAAACATTTTAAATTATCTATATATTCAATTATTACATATTGTTAAAAAGAGTAAAGCTCTTTTTTTTTTTACATTTTAATTTTTTATTACAACGGTGAAAACCTCATAAAAAACAAATAATTTTACAAAAAGTTATTCACACTTAGTTAAGTTACATAATTTGATAACAAGGAGATTGCTTAAAAAAATTGCAGCCAACATTAGTTTTGCAACAAATTTTACGTTCGGTTAACGGTAATTTTGAAAAACTGATTAATTCAAAATGAAAACGTTCAAATTGAATGTTTTCATTTTGAATAGTTGTGTTTTCCCAATAGGAAAAAGTTGATTGATTCATTAAAAAGTAAGAATGCGGATAAAAATATTTATTTAGTTGCGATGACTCGGTCATTGAATTTCAATTTGAGTTTGAACTGTTGCAACTGTAATAAATACAATAACAGAAACAATAGCTATTGTTATTGTATTATTATTTTTTAGAAACAATAACAATACCTGCGATTTACAATTATTCTAATCAATCAATCAATCATATATTCTGAAAATTCAATCAATCATATATTGTGAAAAAGATTTTCATAGATATTTACAAATAGTAATTTTACTAATCTTTAGTAAACACCAAAAATACATATCTTTATATAAATATATTTAATTATAATTATAAAACAGTAATAGTTATAAATAAATATATTTATATAAAGATAATAAAAAGAGTATTTGTAGTAATAAACATAAAAACTACAATAATAATAAAACAACAAAAATAATAACAATGTTAATAGTAATAATAATAATAATAATAATAATAATAATAATAACAATAACAATAATAATAATAATAATAATAATAATAATAATAATAATAATAAAAACTCACTTGCTTTTATAAACACAATATCTAATTATACAAAGTTTACAACATTAAACTAAGTAAAATTACATACTAATGCAAACAACGCACTTAAACACATTACAATATGAACTATTCATTAGAACCCTCAATGAACAATATACAACAAAAAACAAAAAAACAACAAAAATAACAAACAAACAAACATTGTAAACAGCGCACAAAATAACATTATAAAATAAAAAACGTTTAAAAATACAGGACAATTCAAACTAAGCACAGATATACATATCAGTATGAACAGTGTACAAAAATGTTTTAAAAATTAAAGTTAAAAGAAAATGTTCTTATCTTTTCTTTTTTCGTTGCTAGTAATATTTGTTGTTCTTTTTTATTGTTACTTTCCAATTTCGAACATTTTTAAACTTTTAACTTTATATTTATGGTAGTAATAATAATAATAATAATAATAATAATAATAATAATAACAATAACAATAATAATAATAATAATAATAATAATAATAATAATAATAATAATAATAATAATAAAAACTCACTTGCTTTTATAAACACAATATCTAATTATACAAAGTTTACAACATTAAACTAAGTAAAATTACATACTAATGCAAACAACGCACTTAAACACATTACAATATGAACTATTCATTAGAACCCTCAATGAACAATATACAACAAAAAACAAAAAAACAACAAAAATAACAAACAAACAAACATTGTAAACAGCGCACAAAATAACATTATAAAATAAAAAACGTTTAAAAATACAGGACAATTCAAACTAAGCACAGATATACATATCAGTATGAACAGTGTACAAAAATGTTTTAAAAATTAAAGTTAAAAGAAAATGTTCTTATCTTTTCTTTTTTCGTTGCTAGTAATATTTGTTGTTCTTTTTTATTGTTACTTTCCAATTTCGAACATTTTTAAACTTTTAACTTTATATTTATGGTAGTTTTTGTTTTCCTATTTATTTTTCTCCTCAGTTATCTATTTATATTATTTGATCTAGTTTTTATATTATTTGTTGCTGTTTCTTTATTCCCCTTTTTTTAAAAATATTAATAAAAAATTTTCTTTATCTTCTTTTTTCTTCATTTTTCCTTTTCAGCAGTTAAAAACTATCTCTGCCACTTGCAATGTCATTGCAAAGAGTCCAATGAATGCAATAACAATAAATATTGTATTACAATTCATCTACATAATACAATAATAACATCTGAAAATAAAAAGTATTGTAATGACCCACTACAACAGCAATAAATATTGTACTGTAATTCATCTTTATAATACAATAACAAGTTATTATTGTAATGAAAAAAATTATTGTATTGTCAAA